TCCGTGCCCCTGGGGGGCTCCGGCTCAGGGGGCTTCCGCACCCTTCCCAGGCCTCCCTTTTTGTTTCAGGACAACCCTGTACGTGGGCAAATATGCTGGGGGTTTCTACGCTTTGACTTCCCTGGTGCATGAAGGCATGGCCCTTGTGGTGAGTTTTCCCTTGCCCGGGGGCAGTGGGGCGGTGGGTCCTGCTGCTCACGGGGCTGTCTGTCCTCCTGCAGCCTCAGGGAGTGGCTCTGGCCCAGAGCAGCGGCCCCATCACGCGTGAGGTGACGCCCCAGAGGTCTGGCGAGTGCAAGGTCACACCCAGCACAGGCATCCGGTACCCGCCGGGCAGCATCCCCCTTCCCCACAGCCAGTGGCTGCTGATAGGTGAGTTCCTGGGCCTCCCGGGCCCACGTGCAGAGCCAGGCCTGACCTCCCCCAGAAGCCATGGAGCGCTCTCCCTGCAAGCTGCCCGGGGTCCCTGAGCAGAGGGGGAAGAAAGCCCCGCTGGAATGAAGCCGCATGTCCAGGCACCCACTCCACGCAGTTGTGCCTTTCTGCATGTGAACGCACACGTGTGCATGCTTGCAGGTGTGGGCAGGGACCCTAACCCCACCGATGCCCAGGTGGGGGTGTGGTGTTCTCAGAAGCGATCTGCCCTTTGCAGAGCGTTGGGGGGGGGTCAAGCTAAGGTACATGGGGTTCAGAAAGGGAAGGGGGGAGAAATTGTGGTTGGAACGTTTGGGGAAGGCTGAAGGTCCCTGATTAGCGCTAGATGAGGGCAGAGGGGAATCTGGTGGAATTTAAGAAAAGGATCATTTGATCAGCATGACTGAATCTTTAAAAGACGGGCAAAGCGTCTGCCCTAAACTGAGACGTCCAGCGCTGCGAGTGGAGTGTTCCCCTGGCAAGAGCCCTCCAACTCAGCAGGCTGACCCTGGGCCCCTCCCTTCCTTCCAGGGCATCACGAGCTGCCCCCGGTGGTCCACACCACCATGCTGAGGGCCCTTCCCGAGAGCCTGCGGAGGAACCCGGAGGCTGCTGCGCCGCGCAGCTCCCCTGCCCAGACCCTCCTCGAAGATGTACGGGGCAAGGGGAGCATCGCAGGCTGGTCGCTGGTGTGGGTGGGGTGGGGGGGGGGAGGCTCCAGGGCAGGTTCCTCCGGTCCTGCTGATGGTGGCCTTCTAAGGAAAGCGGGACGCTCAGCATCGTCCCTTCCTGTTCGAGGTATCGTAAAAAGGAGTGGAGCGAGCGGTTAAGCCCTGATGTCCTCCATGCTTTTCTTGCAAACACCCCGACGATCAGAAGCCAGTGTGGGGATAAGGGGAGGGGGGCAAGAGGCACATGCAAAAGGATTGCTTGTCTCTCCCCGTCCTCCCCCTTTCCCACTGCAGTCAGCATCTGGGCAGAGGGGCCAGCCCAGCCCAGCCCAGCC